GTTGCACCGGCTATCCCGGCCAAAACGGGTTATCCCGAGGAACTCAAGTCTGTCTGGTCACCAATCAGCTGTGTTCTTGTCCATGGGCCCAACTCCGCTGCACTCATTGATACTCCAATTACTGTCGAGCAAGGCGAGGCCATATCGAAATGGATCGCCGAGACCATTCCGGGGAAGAAACTGGAGTACATTTACACCACCCATGCACACCCTGATCACTTCCATGCTGTTCCCGTAATCGAAAAACATTTCCCTGGTGTACAGTTTGTCGCCACATCAAATGTGACAAATGGAATCAAGGAGCTGTACAACACTGCCTACGATTACGTTTGGCCACGATTCTTCCCCGACCAGCTCTCTTCGGTTAAACCGGTTCCTAAACCACTTCCACCCTCCGGGGAGTTCCTGATTGATGGTGAGAAGCTACAAGGCATCGACGTTGGACATACGGACAACGAGTATTCTACATTCCTTCACGTACCTTCGGTCGGCCTTATTGTCTCAGGCGATATCATTTATGGCGACTGTCACCAACACTTTGGGGAAGCGAACACCCCGGCGAAACGCAAGGAGTGGCTGGACGCGATCGATCGTATAGAGTCTTTGGCACCGCACATCGTTGTGGCTGGGCACAAACGAGCTACTCAAACTGATGGGCCGTACTTGATCCAGTCGACGAGGGAGTATATCTACACGTTTGAGAGAGAGCTGGCTAAGGCGAAGAGCTCTCAGCAGTTGTATGATCGAATGATCGAGTTGTATCCTCAGAGGTGGAATCTTTTCATCTTGGCCTTTGGCTGCGAGGAGTCGTTCAAGGCAAGACAGAGCCAGCTCTGAGGCAGGAGTCAATTTCTACTCGTCACGTAGGAAAGCGTAAATGGTAATCAGACTGGAGCCCTCTCGACATAAGTGCCAGTGATACGATAATGGGGAGTCATTGTGGTATTGTGTTGACGTCTTTTCAAATGTGTTCATGGGATGCACAATCGTAGACCAGTTTATTTCAATGGCTCTGAAACGTAGTTGCACCATATTCAGCCCAGCCCTGTTTGGTCCACCCTCGACGTATGCAAATTGCCGTATGCCTACCCTGGCTGCCCACTGACTATGATATTCAAGATCTGCCTTTTAAAAACCCAAGCTGGGGTCTTGATAAACTCTTCGCTGTTTTCCTTTCTGCCCTTTTTTCAAAAGCCATTGTCAACTCAAAGTCCTTATCCTAGCTAGGAGGACGTTTTTAGTAATCAGAACTGTTGAGCAGCGGTTAGGAGACGATCACTTGGGATATTGAGTGTTGTAGAGTCCATCTAGCATCTGAGACCTTTTTTTAGAACCTGGTCAGGATGGGATGCAGTTAAGACTTCGAGTTTTGGAACCACGCATTATGTACATGGTAGTTATCCTTTCACCATATTCACCCTCCTCACCCGTCCAGGCTTGTCGTAATATCGGATCCTCCGACTCAGAGACCCGGTTTCATGGAATGATGACTTGCGTTGAGGCGATCAACTTCCAATCCTTGAGCGCAGCATCGCGGTGCTCCAACGCGGTCGCAGCATACTCGTCGCAGCCGATCGCGTTGCGGAAGGTTTCGATGTTTGGGTACTTCACTAGGGCGACCGCATCCCATTTTCATTTTCTGTTGGAAGTTTTGCAGGTTCCCCTCAACTGCAGGGATGACAGGGCTGTAAAACAGGGCGATGAGGCCACCAAAGGTGGCCATGCATTGGGCTAAATTGTAGGCGAACACAGGGCACAACACAAGGCTAAACGCAAGGCATATTAGTGCGGCAGAGCCGCACAAAGACGTCCTGCACATAGCTATATGATGAAGCTGCTTTTCATGTATTATTGAGAACAAGCAACATACATGCAACATCGCATTTGGAAGAATTGACACATCTTCATCATTGCACCCAACAAACCTGTTTCCTGTGCTATCTCACAACATTTTCTTCCCCGACGATCTTCGAGGCTGGCGTGCCTAGGTATATCAATTCAAGGCCCCCGGCTTCGGTGGCGATTCTTCTAAATTCCTTGATGTATCTCACAACCCACGCTTCCTGGCCACTGCAGGGGGAGTGCTTGCTTCCCGCTGGATATTTCGCTTGCTCGTTCCATTGCAAAAGATTGAGCATGAACACGGGCTGATCTTCGGGAAAGGACTCGGGGATATTGGCGAGAAAATTCTTGGCCTTGTCCATTTTGACTTGAATGCAAGATGAATGTTTGTGTAGTATAGTTGTCGAAAGTCTCTGGGGAAGATGCTGGGCAAGGGGTTGCATGAGGGCAGATCAGGACCTGAACATTCCGTGCTATGTTGCGATGCCTAACTACATTGTGATTCCAGTGCGTCTAGCCACCCATCTTATAACCTGACCTGCCCATCCCTCATGGATCTCGATGCACGCTGGCCTGAGCGAGGCTCAGCCCTGACTTGGGCGCCGTATGGGCCTGAGCGGTGCTGCGGTGCCTTTCGCCGATACTACGGTGCCCTTCACCGGGCCTCCGACGGGCCCGAAGTGCTGCCTTCCAACAGTTTATAATAGCCTCAACCTCAGGCCCAGGATCATCTATAATGATGACATCGGAGACCGCGCTGACCACATGAATCACCACTCCCCTACAACACGGGCATTTGACCGGTTCAGCGGGCAGTAGAAAGTCGGGACTGGTCTCAGACCGGCGTATACCGAGCCTCTCTGTACAGTCGGAGCATATCGTATGGCCGATCAGAGTAGCCGAGCCTGGCGAGGTAGTGACGAAGCATGCCAAGAAAACCGCATTGATCTGTCCTTCGAAACACACTGGACACTCCCCATCCCAGCCGCACTGCTGAACCATCTGGTCATCCTCTAGATGTTGAGGACTCACGCAGTTCTCACATAGGAGCTGTAGCTTCATCAGTGGAAGAAGTGGCACCTTGGTGTGAACCGTACAAATCCTGAGGCCAAGTGGCGTAGCTTCGGGCCTAGACTGAGATCCTCGAGGCATCTGTTGCATCGCCTCTGAATCGGGGTCACGGTGTAGTGCATGCTGATGCGGCGGTATGGAGGTATTCAAGTGTGTGATGCGCACTCGATCTCGTGGTCCAGTTATACGACTGCCTCCCGCCCTCCCCCCGCGACCCCTCCTTTGATTTGTACTATTTGCCTACCGCAGTTTTTGTTCAGATGGCCTGGTCTTGGCCAGCATGCCGCCATCCTCCCCGTCCACGTGGTCCCCAGAGTATGCATTGAAATCGTCCGGTGTAAAGAAGGGCGCGAACTCCTCAGCACAATCCCCGTAGTATGTCCCAATTTGAAGTTGGTGATGACAGCAACCTGAGGTGGAACTGTCTTGCTGGAAACTGGTTTTTCAGCTGATCGCCCTGAGCTGAGACTTGCTCTTGGAGCGACTGAATTTCAGTTCATCCTTGTTGATAGCCGATAGGATATCTTTCACTTGCGTAGTTGTAATACTTTACGAACAGAAATCAGGTCAATACTCGATCCCTTCTTATGCAATGGGCCATAAAGGTATAACTCTGGTGCTTGGGGACATACGTGATCTCTTTGTTACTATATCTAAGGCGTCTGACAGAAAAGACCCTCCCATAATCCTATACATTGACAAATTTAATGGCGAGAATCTAATCCGGCCTCCAATACCAGTCTAAATATAATGACGAAGAATGGAAGTAGGAAAATCATCTGTTTTTGTCGAGAGGTCAGGGGAAGATTGATGGGCGTAAGGATTGCTTGAGGGCAGATCAGGATCTGAACATTCTGTGCTATGTTGCGATGCCTAACTCTATTGTGATTCCAGTGCGTCTGCCTGCCCATTTTATAACTAGACGAGCCCATCGGATCGTGGGAGATAAGGTAGTAGTTGGACTTAGTGTTAGGGAGCGGAGTCGGAAACGGCGCAGAATCATTCTTGTCGAGGATAATGACGCCGCCACTGCTCCGTGCAGAAATGAGGGCTGGCTGTCGCTGCCCATTATCATCATCGAGCTGGAAGCAAAGATCGAGTTCACGTCGAACGTTCCCCACAGTGACAAAGTCATCTTTCTGGTAGAAACCAGCTAGAGATGTAGTTATTCGTGCATTGAGAAGAATCCTGACATTCCATCCCAGCTCGCGCTGGCTGGCATTGAACATAGGCATTTCTTGATGTTGATGTTGGCTGATGACAAAAACGTGGGGTGTTGAGATGGGCGGAGCCAATTCAATGTAGAAGCGCGGTTGCCATGGTTTCAGACAGGGGCAACAGGTATTACGTCAGCCGACAGCCACCACGGACCATGGCCGTCTTGGTCTGTGCGCTCGACGCGTGTCTCTCCAGTAATGCCGTTGGGCCCACATTTCGGACTTTTGAGACAGTCCTCACACCCTATTGGCAACGAAGGCACAAGCTGACTGTGAAGAATTGTCGATGTACAACTATGTTTGCCTAACCAAAAGAGAGGGAAAGGAAGAGAGGCTGCAGTTCGCCCATGGCGGCGGCATGCCTACTAAAAAGCTTTTGGAAGCGGGCGAAGGCACTCTCGCCGACGAAGGCACTCTCGCCGAGGTGGACAGGCTGAAGCATAAAACCACCGAATTGATTCTTAGGGACGCTACTCAAATACCGATAGTACATACATAGTTATAACCGAAGCTTGAAGCTAATCACATAAATAGCAGCGACTAACTCATGTGAATTCAGTGTAGAAGTGCCTCCGGGTCGTCAAAGGAATACCTCTCGTAAAGCCCGTGATATGGTGTTCCTGGTATAGCTGAAGCGCTCAGCCCAGTCGAGTTTGCAAATGGCTGCGTGTCTGTACTTTTCCATCCCTGGGATCTTGTTGACCCAGCGAGCTCACCAAGTTAATTACGGCCACTACTCTGTTTCCTAATTGAGAACCCTTTTTCACAAAAGGCAGTAACAGGAATTTCCGAGCGCCGCCACAGCGGCTCACAAATCGGCTTGAAGAATTCAGCGGGGTTTGGAAAAAAAAAAAAAAATTGCAAAAGGTCGGAACTAAGCGGGGATTGAACCCACAACCTTTAGACTTAATCTGACGCTCTTCCCACTGAGCTATCAGCCCCGGATTTCTTGGAATGAGAGCATATTTAAGGATTATATTTGTGGAGCATCGAGTTCGCATGCGCTATGAGTAGCCTACGCCATAGGGGCAAGATGATTATAGGGACAATCATAATATGTCAAATAAAAGTCTGGTCAGAAGGCATAGAGAAAGAAGTCGTTAATTAAATTTTCAAAATAAGTACGTAGGTAGAGATATTTGTACACAGCAAGGGCCCCTAATCAGCCAAAGTCATCAGTACCACATACCTCACCCAGCACGGCTGTAGTAGATAAGGAAAGGAGTACTTTTAAGACACGTGTCAAGGCTGATCAGGTAAGAAGCATCGCAATTATTATTGAATCCTTAAGATTTACTCGTCAATGGGAAAAGGAAAACCACCACAAGAAATCTGCTAGCTTAGTAAGCCCCGTATTCATGAGAGGAGATTGTGTCTGATCACATAAGAAATGACAAAACTAAAACACCATTTTCTTCCCACCTCAACCTTGGTGCTCGCGATCCCATCGCTCTTTCGCCATCTCATATTGCCAACCCTGGAAATCGTCATCAATATTGGGGATTACCACCGCGTGGTGTGACTCTCTCCAAATATCATCCCAATCTGGGACCTCGGGAGCAGGTGTATTGCCTCGTTGATTCCGGTCTCGAAGGGCATAACCTGATCGCTCTACATAGTGGCGTGATGAGGTTTCACGTCTCTGTGTGGAGGTTTGAGGTGCGGGTGGCACTGGGGCCTGCTGCGCTCGGAATGGGGGTATAACCAATTGTGGGGGAATCTGAACTGGTCGAAGTGCCAGTGGAGAGTGTCTAGCTGGCTGGTCTTGTGATGTGGCTCGCTGTCGGGGACCGGACTGCTGCGGAAGGTGTTGCTGAGGCTCACTTTGAAGTCGCAGCCGTGGCACTTGTTGTGGGAGATTCTGATCAGCGCCAGATGAACCGCCTTTTCTATGGCGATGTCCAGTTGGGGTCATTTCGAGCGTGGGATCATCAAGGTTCAGCTGATTAATATTCTTCATCAGCTCAGCCTTCGTCTTTCGGACTTTCCGTTGTTGAGGTGTTGGCGTTGAGGGCTGGTCAGCGAAGGGGTCGGATGGGCCAGGCACGGGCGTCCCTCGAACGCTGGGGGTTGCCCCCAAGCTGTCACTTCGGATTGTAAAGTTAGCGCTTATCGCGTAACACTGCTCAGCCATGACAGATACTGATCCTGTCTCTCGACCAGTGATCTGAGCAGCATCCTCTGTTGAGATTTCGGGTATGTCAATGTCTGGTGGCAGCCCTAAGCGGTTTGGTAAGAAATCAGCACCGCACGGGTTTTCGTCGTTAGGGCGGCAGTAGGTTTTATAGTTCCAGTCCTGAAATGCTGGCTGTTCAGGCCAACGGAGTGGTCTGCTTCGGCTTCCCAGTTCCATGCGGAATGTCGTGACAAGCATGTCTCTGATCGTATCCTCCTTGCCTCCAGCAGCCAAAAGATGTGCTTGGAATTGAAAAGCAAGCTCTTCGTCCAATCGATCAGGCCGCATTTGCCCCTGGAAAGTTGCTGCTGATTCTCCAGAAGCAGCATTCTGGTATTGTTGATCACATCCATCCCGCCTCCGAAGTGCTCTGATAGACTAGCAACAGAAAAGGCTAGCAAATCAATGCGTTGTTTTTCAAATGAGCAGATACATGAACAGATGCGTGGGTATGCGAACTAGGTCCAGGTACTTCCTTCCCTAGGTTGGAGACTTCAAGAAGTCAGAGAACAAAAAGGAGTTAAATGATCCCTCGTAAAGATATTGAGGAGTGTTTATATGGTGGGTACAGACGCGTGCACACGCGAACGCGATTGGGGGGTGCGCGGGATCAGGGGGTGCGCGGAAACGGGTGCGGGGACGTTACGTACAAACTTCCCATCCGCATTCTTCTGAGGTTTCTCAGCCTTGACCACAGTAACCCTATGGGCTCGAGCCGCCGGCCTACCCAGGGCGTTGGGTAGTATGTCTCTCTGTGGACCAACCACACAAACAGACTCATCGCTTTCTTGGTGAGAGCTTTGCGGATGTAGTTCCAACAGCTCGGGAGAAAGATAATGCCCTGTTCCCGTAAAGCTGGACATGGGTATTTCACCATTTCGCTCTGGACGCAGATGGCAGAAGTTGCTCATTTAATGCATATGGTTTTATCATGTGTATTCCGTAAGACCAACTCATCACAATCCACTGCGGGAGAATGATCAGCTACCCTCATCCTCTGGGATACCTCTCTCGTTTTCCGCACACGTAAAACAAGGGTATCCTGCTCTCGCTTCCTCGTCAGGAGCTGTCACATCTTTCACGTCCTCGCACACGCCCCATGCCAAATGAGGATGTTTCTTGACCTTCTCGCACTCTTTGCCCTGACGTGCCACGTTGGATACAAGAATGGTGCTGCATTTCCTGCATTTCTTGTTGAATTTCTCGCGCTTGCACATAACCGCTATGTGCTTTGAACAAGGATGATGCGAAGTTGGATAGATCTTGTGGAGAAGGATTCTTTTTCTGTTGATTGATGTCGTTTATGCAATGGGAGACTTCGGGTCTCTGTAGATCTTCTTTGCGCGATCCTTGCTTAGTGGGCGCGATATTGCCTGGCTCGAACAAACAGAACAGCCCAGAACCGGGGTTGGAGGAAGTAGAGAATGGCGTGGCTGTGTCAACCTGATATAGATCTCAGCCCTACCTCCGGATTCCTGGTGGCTCCGTCCCAACCCCGGGACTCGGGCACCCAGGCCGGAAAGTAGGCCCCGGCGCCAAACCTCCCTTCAGATACTCCAAAATAGCTTCTCGCACCTGGAAAAAATACCTACAATCAAAGGCGACCAGCTACTATTATTTTATTTAATAACAGATAACCTTCTACAATAAAATGGATATATTGAAGAACCACAGTAATTAAGTGATATAAGATGTTAGGAATCCCCACATAACATGGTTGGACAGTCAGCGAGCGATGACACTAAGCGAGCGATTTTTAGGTAAACCACCAACTTTAGCCAACCCCAGCAGCCACCCAGGGCAAAAAGGTCAATTGTATTTGGCACCAATTGGTGCCAACTGCTTTCAATTCTTCATTTTTAATTGATTTAGTTAATTTAGAGGTGTTGACGTGGCTGCAGTGCCAGTCTGAAGTGGCTGGCTTTTGGTGGAAAAATCAGCTTCCCCACCAAAATGGAGCATTTCAGACATACAGGATCAACCTCAATTCTACACCAGCCAGGTCAACTATTTGGGCGGTCCGCCGCGGGCCGCTTAAGAATGTACTATTATACACTCAGAATCTGATGGAATAGGCTCTTCTACGACCAAAGATCCCGCCCAGGCTCTCGAAGCAGCCTGCACTCGGAGGGGGACGAAACAGAGGCTTCAAGCCGTTGCTGGTAAGGGTCTTGCAGAGGTATAGAAAGGGAACAGATCCAAATTATGTTGAAGAGGACAATCTGTAGCCTGATGACCTTCGCTCAGCCAGATGCCCACGATCTCCAGTATCCACCGAACCATACCCAGGCTCTTTCGTCGGCCGTGGACGACGAGTAGAGATCCTGTCGCAGTGGTATGGTCGCAGATTCACTGGTCGCAGGTCATCATGGACCGTGAGCAGGTGATACACGGCATCTGCCAGATGTGGGTGCCTTGGAATCGATGATCTCGTGTAAAAAAAGGCTTGGATTGCAGAGTGTAAGGCGTTGGCGATGGTGACCATTGACAGACGTGATGGAGAGGGACGAGTTTTGGGAGCAAAAGATGGGGCGTTTACCTCAGGCAACATGATTCGTATCACTCCGTTAAAGGCCGATGGGTTTCACTGTAAGCAGTGGTGTCTCGGTAGGGTACCTTCCAGAGCGCACCATGATTGGATTAGTACAGAAGTGGGTCCGCACCGCCTCAAGTTATGCCCAAAGCCATGACGTTCGGGCTTTGCTGACTAATTTAAGGTCGTGGCGCAGTCTTTGCAGCTTAGCGGCTTGGGATCGGGCTGAAAGGGACGCGCACTTCCCTTTCGCTTCTTTCCGCCTCACATTGAGAGCACACCATCCACAATGGCAGACCCACTGCGGTCGAAAATCATTGAGGAAAATCCGATTGGGAACGGCCTCGATGCTTTTCGCGCTTTATACAAATCGGTCTGTAAGGACAAGAGGATCCCGTGCACGCCAGACGCGCTCGGTCAACTCGGCCTCGAAGGTATGGCCAGCCACCTTCGCTGTATATGCTTCTCTGACTGTTATGCTAGATCTCCGGAAACTCGTACTAGCCTTTCTATCGGCGGCGCAAAACTTTCCTGCCGCCCGCCTGCTACCTGCGAGGGCGGTTCGCGGCACCCTCCGAAGCGACCTTCTGCGACTTGAGCTCTCCCTCGACTCTGACGACTACGACCTCGACCGCGTCACACCTCTCCTGAAAGCAGCGCTTGCCGACGATTCAGAGGATGCGCTCATCTGGGACCGAGTGTACAGCGCCGTCACAGAATCCACTCCACCGCCCCGACCGGTAGCGTCCTCTCTTCAGCAAACCCCGTGGCTGCGCAACACCAGCAGCTTCGCCAACTCATCTGAACATCGCAAATATGTGGATAACGTGCTTAAGGAGGAGCTCGGCCCTATGTATGTCGACCTCCCGGACTTTCACGAGACCTACTTTGGCGACGTACCGAACCTTGAGACCGCGTCGAAGACCTTCTTCGGAGAATGTTCCCAAGGCAGCAACCCGCTCTTCAACAACGGCTGGACGAAATGGCCGAGAGAAGCGAAACAAGATGATGTACTAAGCTGGTTCGCGGACTTCAGCGAGAAGCTCGCGGCGTTTGCAGAGCGCTACGGGCTAACGCCAACACGCCGACGAAGACCCTTAGCGAAGCCTGATAAACCGATCGACGGCTCTGTCGGCAAACGAAAGATGGACGTCGGCTTCGTGAACGACCCTACAGCAAACAAAGACTCGAGGTGCCACTGGGACCAAATCCTGATTCCTGGAGAACTGAAG